AAAAGAAACTTGCTATGTATCCCCACGAAGTATATTTTCTAATTTATATACTTAGTTACTGATTTAATCAATAAAATATAAGTGTAAGAAAGAAGACTTACCTCGTCCTACTAGATTGGAAAAATCCTAGTATTTCTGGCTAAATATAGTAAATTAAATAAATGCATGCATTTCCACTTTTTCCAAACCTGACTAAAATAATAGTAAATGAATTTTGAAATGTATAATACCATAAGGATAAAAAAAGAGAGAATACAGCTTCAAATTTTTGGACAATGGAAAGCAGAATGACTTGTTGAAACTTGACTACCTACAGAGAGATTAGCCAATGACGGCAGACTGTTTCACACTGAAAGACCCAGAACCGGTGAGGTACTGCTGACCCATACTTTTAAAGGTGGAGGTTAGGGTAAGGATAAAGCAGGAGTATTACACTCCCAAGTTCACTGCAAAATTATTCATAAAAACCAAGATATGGAAACAACCCAAATCTCCATCAACAGATGAATGGATAAAGAAATGGTGGGCCGAGGCGGGTGGATCACAAGGTCAAGAGATTGAGACCATCCTGGTCAACATGGTGAAACCCCGTCTCTACTAAAACTACAAAAAATCAGCTGGGCATGGTGGCGTGTGCCTGTAATCCCAGCTACTGAGGAGGCTGAGGCAGGAGAATTGCCTGAACCCAGGAGGCAGAGGTTGCGGTGAGCCGAGATCGCGCCATTGCACTCCAGCCTGGGTAACAAGAGTGAAACTCTGTCTCAAAAAAAAAAAAAAAAAAAAGAAAGAAATTGTGGTATATGCATACAATTAAATATTATTCAGCCTTAAAAAGAAGGGAATTTTGGCCAGATGTGGTGGCTCACACCTGTAATCCCAGCACTTTTGAGAGGCCAAGGCTAGTGGATCACCTGAGGTCATGAGTTTGAGACCAGCCTAGCCAACATGTTGAAACCCTGTCTCTACTAAAAAATACAAAAATTAGCTGGATGTGGTGGCAGGCACCTGTAATGCCAGCTGCTCGGGAGGCTGAGGCAGGAGAATCATTTGAACCTGGGAGGCAGAGGTTGCAGTGAGCCAAGATTGTGCCATTGCACACCAGCCTGGGAGACAGAGCAAGAGTCCATCTCAAAAAGAAAAAAAAAAAAAAAGGGAATTTTTCCATTTGTAACAACATGTACTAATGTACTAACCTGGAAGATATTATGCTAAGTGAAATAAGCCTGACACAAGAAGACAAACACTGCATGATCATAACTATATGTGGAATGTAAAATTGTTTAATTCATAGAAGCAAGGAGTAAAATGGTGGTTGCCAGGCATTGAGGTGGGTGAGGAATGGGGAGATTTTAGTCAAAGAGCACAAAGTCTCAGTTAGGCAGGATGAATAATTGAATGTATAGTATAGTGACTATAGTTAACAACATTGTTTTATATACTTGAAATTTGCCAAGAAGGTAGATATTTAGTGTTCTTACCACAAAGACACACACACACACACACACACACACACACACACACACACACACACACAGAGTAACTATATGAGGCAATCAAAATGTTAGTTAATTTGATTGTGGTCATCATTTCACAATATATACATATATCAAAACATTAGGTTGTACACCTGAAATATACAATTTCTGCTTGTCAAGTATACCCCAATAAAGCTGGGAGAAAAACAGAAACAGAAGTATTGATTGCAAATTCTCACAAAACCAGAAAACCACCCTTCCCCAATATATTAAGAGAAGAATAATTTATTCTGTAGAGAAATTGGACTACAGAGCTTGTGGACCAGGAATACCAGGCAAAGAAGAAGGCAAGAATAAAAAGTTACTCTAAAAACAAAGGAATTAAATTAAAGTCTATTGTCTGAAAAGTGGGTAAGAGCTTCACCCCTATTACCTCTCTTATCTCCTAGAAGGCTGTCTCTCAGACATATCTCCTACAAGAGATTACAGGATCTTTCCCCAGAGAAATCTGCCCTAAAAAAAAAAAAAGACCAATTGATATTATAGCTGACAGCTTTACAAAAAAAGAAGAGGAGGAGGAGGAAGAGGACAAGGAGGCATGGAAGGATAAGGAGGAGGGAGAGGATGAGGAGGAGGAAGTTTTCACCTATCCCCTGCCTGCATGCAGAGAGACTTGAATCAGTGACTTGCTCTTAAATATAGATAAACATCTGCATAAAACTTCTATCAAAATAAAAAAACTAGAAAAAGTAGTAAAAAAAAAAAAAAAGAAAGAAAGAAAGCATGAAGAAGAGCAATATCTCAGAAAAAATATAATTAATAGCCTCAGAAAGATGAAAAAGGAATGCATAAAAAAAAATCAGAGAACAAAGGCTCTGGGAAATTAAAAATTAAGTTAGATCATCTGAAATTAAAATTTTAAATTAAGATTAGGAGATATAATGAAGCAGCTTCCCAGTAAGTAATATAAGAAACCAAAATTAAAAACAAAAAAAAAATGTAAGGGACAATAAGAGGGCCCACTGAATATCCAAATGATGAGTTCAAAAAGACCTTCACTAAGACACATCCTCATGAAATTTCAGAACACTGAAGAAAATGAAAGAGGAAAGAGAAAAAGAAGAAAAAATATGTCATATCAAAAGGATCAGGTAGCAGAATAGCAATTGATCTTCTCATCAACAATGGAACAAATACTTTAAATTTCTGGCAACCTAGAATGGTACACATAGACAAATTACAAAGTGAATGTAAGATCAGATTAAAAATTGCTTAAGAGAAAAGGAGCTCAAATATAATATTTCCCTGCATGTTTTCCCAGAAAACAAAGAGTAGACGTGCTCCATCAGAATGAAGGAATAAACCAAGAACTGTGAGGATGGCATGGGATTTAACACAGGAAAGAGATAAAAGGAATTTTAATGATGATGGTGATGGGAAGAATGACAATTGTGTCGCAAGAAGACTAAATAATAAATTCCTTGTTGCATTTAATTATAATGATAGGCATTTTATAGTTCTATATAAGAATATGAGAAGAATGAATGATTTATACATAGAAAATTAAATCCAAAGGAGGGGGCAGTTGTTTATAAATCCAAGAAAATGTTAAAAGCCATATCATACAGAAGAAAAATGTACCATATTGCTTGGTTTAGCTGTGAACGGAATTTACCTTATCATAAAAATTGTAAACACTAAGTATTAAACAAAATGTTGCAATTCGCCTGTGAGTATGAAAGCAAGGAGAGGAAAATGAGAGGGAAGGCGGTAAGAATGCTAAGTTTCCATCTTGCAGTTTACAAGTTAGTGGGTAATGCCTAAAATTGCTTAATCAAATAGAAAAAGGATAAGCAAGCAATTTAAACAGATAGAAGTCTGACCAACATTGCATAACCCCTTCTCTACTAAAAATACAAAAATTAGCCAGGTGTGGCAGCCTGCACCTATAGTCCTAGCTACTCCTCAGGAGGCTGTGGCAGAAGAATCTCTTGAACCTAGGAGGCAGAGGTGCAGTGAGCTGAGATCGCACCACTGTACTCCAGCTTGGGCAACAGAGTGGGACTTCATCTCAGTAAATAAATAAATAAATAATAGATGTGACTATCAGTAAAGCAGCTGAGTTGAAAGCATTTTGGGAACAGTAACGGGGTCAGCTAGATGAGAAGAAGTCCCATTTGACATTTAGAATTATGTACATAAAGTTCTTTCTTCTTCTTCTTCTTCTTTTTCTTTTTATTTATTTATTTATTATAATTTTTTTTAAGACGGGGTTTCACCATGTTGGTCAGGCTGGTCTTGAACTCCCAACCTCTGGTGATCTGCCTGCGTTGGCCTCCAAAGTGCATGGATTATAGGTGTGAGCCACCACGCCCAGCCAAAGTTCTTTAATAAAAGTAAAATTATAAAAAAAAAAAAAAAGCAAATAACCTACATTTCCTTAAGCTTTTCTTGTCTTAGTAACAGCAGGTTTTGTTTACAGACTCCCATGTATATACTCTGTTAAGTATTTTTCATATTCAAGTTTTAAAGAAAATCTTTTGTCTCCTATGTGGGCTGAACAATTAAAGAAAACCTGTCCTGGAGATCAAGACCATCCTGGCCAACATGGTGAAACCCCGTCTCTACTAAAAATTGAAAAATTAGCTGGGCATAGTGGCACATGCCTGTAGTCCCAGCTACTCGGGAGGCTGAGGCAGGAGAATCACTGGAACCAGGGAGATGGAGATTGCAGTTAGCCGAGATCCCGTCTCTGCATTCCAGCCTGGGCAACAGAGGGAGACTCCATCTCAAAAAAAAAAAAAAAAAAGAAAAGAAAACCTGTCCTTATTCTTCCTGACAGGATAAGTGATTATGAATTTAACTTTTAAAAAAATCAAACTAAGTTTAAGTTAGAAGTAGTAAAACAAAAACTTCTATAGCTTTTTCTCATATTGAATTACTTATACTTTCTTATTCTTTATCTAATGGTTTTATCTAATTATGGGTAACAGTGTTAATTCCCTTTGGTCCAAGAATAATTTTCAAACATCAGAAAATTTTTGATAAATTGGTTTTATCTAATTATGGGTAACAGTGTTAATTCCCTTTGGTCCAAGAATAATTTTCAAACGTCAGAAAATTTTTGATAAATTATTTTTCAAATTTTTCTTGAATCTAGATGCCATGAAGCAGATCTACTGCATGAGATTGTACACTTTGACCTCTGCTGAGCAGGTGAGAGCAGTGATAAGATCCAGCTGCTCACCAAGCCAAGGTACTCAAGGAACTAAGCCTGGGCACAATTTCTCACTGGCCTTCATAGAGAGGATCCTTTTTGCAACTGGACCAATCAGAGGATGTACCTTTTCTAAATCACAAAAGATGCTGTATATCCTAGCTGCACATCTGACTATCTTCCTAAATAAGGCTCTATTTTAATATTGCAATCAATTTGCATTTGGACAAAACCCTAAGACTATGAGCAGTAATCTGTAAGGTCATGACCTATGTTTACAGATTAATGACAAATGTCCAGTGACTTACCAGGAATGTGTTACCACAGTGGCCACACACGACCCTTGTGCCTTCTGGTTGGATTGGCAATGCAGGTTGGGCGGGTTGTTCTTCAGAAATAAGCATTACTGGGCCAAGGTTAATTATGCGTCTACTGTAAAAAGAGAAAAGAAACAAATTCACTATCCCACAAATGGATTGAAAGCAAAACCTACAACATATGGCCAAAAATATGAAATATATATTACTTGTTTTATAAATTAAGTGAATTAAATGCCAAGCTGGAGGCAAAACAGCAAAGAGTAGCAATAGTCAGTTTTTCAAAAGCAAAATATGAGTCTTTCTGTACTTGAGATAGAAACAATATATTATAACATTGGTCCTAATCAGTGGGAACCATTTAACTGCCATTTTTAAGTTTTTATAAGTTCAGATCAGAAAACAATTCTTACCCTTCCCTATCTAGGAAGCCAACTTGACTTAAGTAGAAGGCTATGTTAAAAATATTCTATATCAACAAAAACGTGTGTGCCATGAAGGCACTGAAGTGCTGGGTTACAACCAAATTTCTCTGAGCAGTGTGATATTCCTTGATGCCTATTTAATCAGAAGGGAAAAGAAAACAACAAGATTCTTCTTTCTTTTCTGTTCTCTAGTCTATCATTGGCAAGGTCTGTACATGATTTATGTAGTGGTCAAAAAGCCAGGGAGGTCACAGAAAAAAAACACAAGTAAGGCCTTTATATACATACTTGTATCTGGGTACATCCATAATGGTACTGGGCATGGACAAATAATTCCAGAATTTATTGCACATATACATTCAGCAGAAATTAGTGTAACATACAGTGAGATACACAAAAACAACCAAAACACTTGCAGATGAAGATTAATTATATCAAAAGTAAACTAACTGATTTTTTTTTCAGAGATGGGCCAGGCATGGTGTCTCATGCCTGTAATCCCAGCACTTTGGGACCACTTGAACTCAAGAGTTCAAGAACAGCCTGGGCAACATGGTGAAACCCTTTCTCTACAAAACAATACAAAAATTAGCTGGGAGTGGTGGTATGTGCGTGTAGTTCAAGCTACTCAGGAAGAGGCCATAGTAGGAGTTTTGCTTGAGTACAGAAGGCAGAGGTCACAGTGAGCCAACTCTCTGAGACTTTTCCCATTGAGACTCTGTCTTAAAAAAAAAAAAAAAAAAAAAAAAAGAGAGAGAGAGAGAGAGATGTGGTCTCACTCTGTCGCCCAGGCTGGAGTGCAGAGTCATGATCATAGCTCATTGCAGGCTTTAATCCCTAAGCCCATATCATACTCCTGCCTCAGTTTCCCAAATAACTGGGAATATAGGTGCATGCTGTCACACCTGGCTAATTTTTTGTAGCGACAGGGTCTCACTGAGTTGCTCAGGTTGGTCTTAAACTACCAGCTTCAAGCAATCCTCCCAAACTGCTGAGAATACAGGTGTGAGCCACTAGCTTGGCCTCATTATTTTTCAATAAGTTCAATGAGCCATTGATTTGTTACAGTACACGAAATACTTGCATAACACAAAGAAAACATTCATTGTTCATTTAAGAATTTTATATCCTACAAATATCTATGACTAAGTTCAAACTAAGCTTTTCATTCCTTTAACAACAAAAAAAAAAATCTAGATTATGAATGACTTTGAAAACAAAGACTCTTTCAAGAACAAAGCCTGGCACATAAAGAACCTTTAGTATATACTTGTTGAATGAACTAATTAATTAATTAATCTTTATTTCTTACCAGTTGGGTCTCGGGCATCCTATTCGTCGAGATGTGTCCTTACAGATAAGAAGACAATTACAAGGGCATCTAACATATTTCTTCCCTGTTGGAGGGTTTTTGATTGGCTGGATAAGGGAAGAAAACGTAAACACAGCAATTAACCAAAGTACAGATTGTCAAAGTTTGTGTTTAAAAAGGAATTACTTCCATTAAAACTAATGAAATGTATTGCTTTCATAACTTAAGATTTTATTTTATGATTTTTCCATAAAACATATAAAGTCAATTACTCATGTTTTGCAGTTCTTCAAGACACAGTAATCACTGGCTGACTTTTTAAAAAACTTTTCTAAAGAGAAAAAAATTAAAACGCCAGAGATAAAATTAATATTTAATTGCAGATTTCCAGAGATCAAATTTTTTTTTTTTTTTTTGAGATGGAGTTTCGCTCTTGTTACAATGGTGCGATCTTGGCTCACTGCAACCTCCGCCTCCTAGGTTCAAGCAATTCTCCTGCCTCAGCCTCCTGAGTACTGGGATTACAGGCACGCGCCACCATACCCAGCTAATTTTTTTTTTTTGTATTTTTAGTAGAGATGAGGTTTCACGAGGTCTCGATCTCTTGACCTCATGATCCACCCGCCTCAGCCTCCCAAAGTGCTGGGATTACAGGCTTGAGCCACCGCACCCAGCCCAAAATTTAATATATAAAGCCTAACTACGAAAGAAATGTATTTCAGCTAAACCAGTATATGTTTTACTGTTTTATTACTTAAAACTATAAAAATATTGTTGAAAATGTAGTTGCTCCCCAAAGCTCAATTTAAAAAAAAAAAAGGAAAGGTGTTCTTCAATCTTTTAAACATTCCTAAATTACTATCAACTAAATTAAATAAAATGTGAAACCATTTGTAAACACTTGGCACAGATGCTAATAACAAATTCGTAATCACCAAAGCCCAGAAAAACAATAGTGACATCTTACAGACATAAAATAACTTTAAATAATTTTCCACATAAATAGGACAAAGTTTACAACTGTAATGAAGTTTAGTATACAGTATTTTCATTTTAGTGAAAACCAGAATGGATGTAGTTGTGATGTGGATAGATATTGAAGTCATATATACATAACTGCCAAGCTCAGTCTAGTTTTTGAGAGTAAAAAGCCAAAAGGTATTATATTTAAATTCACCATGACATTTTCTTAAAGGGGTTAGCTTTAAACACAGGCAGGTATCCTATGATGAGAGACAGAAGAAAAAACAGAAAAAAAGAGCACCATATTTGTATCTAGCCCATATATACTTTTAAGTAACATTATTAAAGTACTTCCTTTAGAAATAAAATGTCAAATAACAATTTATGTTTTTATTAATGGAAATCTCCACTTACTGTAGCTTCATTGCAAACTGTGCACTTAACCACATGCTGGTGAAGCTTGCCATCCAAATTGATTAGTGATTGGCACACACGGCAGTTTATTACTGGAATACCACTGGCATCTGGACTGGCAATGGCTGTATATGGAGGTGGAAGTTCCGCTGAAAAGATGTTAGTCACTGAATCAGAGTCTCAGAGAAATTGCTATGGCTGGTTTGAGTATAGAAGCAATAAAAGTAAAGAAGAAACAATCAAGATTTTCCCATGTTCTTTTATTTTTCAAAGCTAACGAACTTATCCTACTTTTAGAGCATAAACGTCCGTGAGACTCTTATCAAGTAAAATAATTCTTAACTGATAAAGTCTAAATCATGTTTGCCTACATCTATCCCAATAACCCAGTTTCCTTTTACTAACCTATACTCAAAATATCACTTCATTCCTATTAGTAAATTCATACAGCCACTACTAGAAGGGTAGTGATTTATGCCTATAATAAAAATTTTACACTAGTGATCTGACTACCAGGAAATAAAAATGATGGATGAAAGCAAAGTTTAAAAATTGCTTATCTATACATACAAATTATGTAGCTGTCATGCTCTGTCTTTATACTGGAACCAGTATAATGACTGCTGGCTATGACAATAATAAAACCAGGATTTTGGAGGAAGTCAAAAAGAAACAAAAATGAACCTAAGAAAACTAAACTTCTCAGCATGGAAAAAAAATGGGAACCATGCTAATTTCAGACACACAAAAAAAATAAAGTAAATTTAACAATTTTTAGTTTCAAATTTTACCTATCATTAAAAATGTAAGAAATGCACCAAAGTGTTTATGATTAAAAAAAATGCAGTATGTGGGATTAAAAACTTCAAAAACCGTAACAACAACAACCACAAAAAGTATGGGGAAACAGATGAAACAAGAGTAGCAAAACGTTGATAACTGATGAATATAATGACATGGAAAATCATCTTTTCATACTACTTCTGTATATGTTTTAAGATTCTCATAATATGATGACACACACACACAAAGTGTTTTTTCGAGAGTCCTAATGTTGACTCAGTGAGTGACTAAAGACTAGAGGCCAAGTTTCAAAATCAAGTATCTACTAGAGTGTATATTTGTTACAAAAGTCTGAGAAAAGAAATCCTGATGTACTACTGTGGTATGGGATTTCTAAAGGAGACTGCCCAACCCCTTCCTGTAACTATTTCAACTATAGGAATAGAAGACTTTTTCAAGGTAAAGTTTTGTCTTGGGACATTTAGAAATGGCCACACTCTAACACACGATTGAAGCACAAAAGAGAACTGATATCTCAAGAGGCTTCTGTAACACTGTAAAATATAATCACAATATCTAATCATAATAAGAACTATTTTTGAAATAGAGTGTTTTTTTATCCACTGTATTAGATTCTAAACTTTGTGACATTTTAAAAAGAATTAGAGCATAAAACATTTTGGTACGTTTAAAATACACATATTTCCACCTGATCCTTGGGTTATGATATAGAATTTTTTTCAGACTGCTAAGGATTAGCAACAAGTGGTATTCATTCAAATGATTCATAAGCCAAATTTCTGCAGCAGCCAAGGTTCTGAAAGAGGCCACTTTGAAATTATGATATGCTCCCATTTCTGGGAGGCTTATAACAGAACACTGCCAAACAATGAAATTGAAAAGAAGCTGTACATGTCTTAAATTATAAAAATAGCTTTAAATCCTTGAAAAGAATTTGAGCTTGATCCAGAGTGACCTGTAATGTATTAATCAAGAAGATAAAAACAGGCTAAAGGAACAATGAGTCAACAGTATACTTAAGGCCTTACAATTTTCAGATTACTTTGTCAGATCTCAATAAAGAAGGCATTATTCTGAGGGAAAGAATATGTACCTCACTAGAAATTCAAGACACACTGGTTGGTATATAATAACGAATATTGTTTTAATAATTATTTGCAGTAACATGAATAAAAGTGCTTCCTCTCTGGCCTTTTCCTTGAGTTGTACAGAAAAATTATGTAGTTCTCTAATAATCCCAGGTCTCTATCTTACACAGAATGATAGAAAGGGAACTTAAACGCAAGACAATTTTATAAAGAAAACAAGGACATTGGGGATGAGAGGAGAAAGTGACACATTGCTACGCTACATAAAAGGATGCTCATAAGCTTTGCTCAAAGCTTCACTACACTCCTAAGCTTTGCTCAAAGAAATTTCCGAAGAAAATTTCAGAGGGTTATCTTAACAATCATTAAAAGTGCATTAGAGCCAGTAAAATCCTGTGATTTTTTTTCTTATAAGTTTGTACTACATAATTTTTACTCTGCCAAAAAAAGAAAAGCCTTCAATGACAAAAATATGCTCAAATCTACTCTTTTGGAGAGTTGGGAAGTGGAGGGACATGGACAGAACAACCAGTGAGATTATAAATCTAATATGATAGAGACTATAAGCTCCACAAGGCCAGGTGCACATCTGGCTTGTCTATAGCCACTTCACCAGCGCTGGTCATAATGCCTGGTCTGTGATGATGCTTACTAAATATGTGTTGAATAGTTGAATAAATTAATAAATCAGGGAATCACTAAAATTTATTAGACATATCTATTTCTCTTGGAAAAATAAAAGTATTACGTTGGTGCAAAAGTAACTGCGGTTTTTCCTTTCAAATGGCAAAAACCGCAATTACTTTTCCACCAACCTAGTATATTAACCCTACTTTCCTTGCAGAGGAGCTAAGGTCCTAGCAAGAGAGTGCAGCTTGATGGAAAACAAGGCTTTCTTTTATACAGAAGGCTACCCTTTCCAAATAATGCACTGAGAGAGGTGAAGTAGTCAGGAGACATTGGCCTGGCCCACCAGATAATGGAACCAATCCAAGAGATCAATAGAATGACCAATGTTGCAACCTAATTGCTACAATAAACAGTGCTTCCCAGCCTTTCATTTCAATGTTCTATCTATTACCTCAGCCTTAAACTGATTTAGACAGAGATATTTCTTGTACTTTTGGCCTCTCCCTATTTTACCCCAAGGAAACATTTACTTGTAGCTCCATCTCCTCTTATAAAGGACTTATGATTCTGGAGATTCCACAGTTAGTAAACCTACAATAATTAGATTAAGGTTATTGATTTAAATTATTGATAATTAGATCATCATAGATTACACCTATAATAATTAAATTAACTTATATTTATTCATTTTGTCTCTTTTTACTTTGGCATAATCATAGCTCACTACAGGTTGAACTCCTAGGCTTAAGTGATCTTCCCACCTCAGCTTCCTCAGTATGCCTATATTTTCACTTTAAAAGCACAGATCACCACTATCAAACCTATTTTAAATTTCTGTTCTACATTAAAAAGTTCACTGTAATCTTAGAACTTGGGATCAGTAGATATTAAAAGTCATAAAAATTTCTCATTTTGGAAGAGTCTTGTTATCTAAACAATGGTTATTTTTCTCTGTGGGGTTTGCCTAAATTAAAAAGCTTTTTCCCTCCATGTTAGCAGTATTTGTTAGTCCAGTAGTCCTTAATCCTAAAAACTCCCTCAAAGCTCCAGAATAGAACAATGTTAGAAATTCAAACAATATTTGGAATTACAAAGTCTAATTTATTTATTTTACAAAGGAGAAAACAAACCCAGAGAGTCTGACTTTTTAAGGGTTATACAGAACTTCAGCAAAGCAAAGAGCTGACTCCTGTCCTGGAGGTCTCTCCACAATTTAACAGCTGTCTCCCTAATGAAATAATGTCTTAATATAGAGAAAAGGTTTAAGGACCAATGGAGGAATTTTTTTTAGGAACAAGCAAACATTTGATAATACAGATTTCTGGAGAATGCGATCTTGGTTAAAGAGAATTAAGAGGAAGAGGAGAAGGAAGAATCAGGGTGGTGGGAAATTAAAGTATATATTTTTAAAAAGAATAGTAAAAATTTCATAGAAAAATGGACTCATAAAAGTGAGACAATGATAGCTTATGGATCATAAGGCATACATAATGATCTTTCTAAAACAACTCAAAAGGAACCATTATATTCTGTAAACCCACAAGTGATCAGATTACATTTTCCTATCACAAACATTTACCTAACTTATCTATTTTATGCCAAACAGCCCCTCTGTCTTGCTAATTCATCCTGGTGTATTAATCCGTATTTCATTTTTTTTCGCAGATACATCCTCCAGTATTTTAGATTGAAATTGTTTTGTTGGATTGCTCTGACCTTTATTATCTCAGTTATTCCTTTATGTCTCCTCAATGGCAATATTTGCCAGTTTAATTCACTTACTACATTAGTAGCGTCTATATGCAGCCCTTCAGGCTCTTGACAAACATGCTATATCAAAATTGAAAATGACATCAGCTTAAAATGAAAGCTATTTTATGATTATAAGAGAAGCAAGAAAAGTATAAAAGGTCAGCCTTTGAGGAAAGCCTGGCTTTTTTCTCCTCTAATTTTCATTGCAAGGATTCATTTTCCCTAGGATCTTCATGCAGAATGTAGATTAGGGACAGACTGAGCTTGACCACTATGGGTTAGCTGTCAAACCTCTCCAATCCAGTTCAATATAGAACAAAGGAAGACCACTTTCTGCTCCTCCCTGTCTTTGAAACCAAAGAAAACTGTTTTAGGAGACTCAAGTGCTCCCAGAACTTGATGAATTTTTCTTGGAAAAATTCATCTGGCTGGAGACAGGTTGTAAAGGAAATGTGCTAGTTATCAGGTTACTGACTCTCAGTTCCAAATCCACCGTTGGTCTCTTTTGTGATGCTGGAGCTGGAACTCTGCAAACCACATTTTGCTTTTGTCAGCTGGCTCCAGGTTATGCTCTTAATAGGCGGTGATATTGGGAGGCTGCATGGGTGGAGGAGGAATAAAGGACTTATTCCTTCTATTTGTTACCTGTTCCAAATATGCTTGCTGTTTCTCTGAACATCACCCTGGGAGTACTACTTCACCCTAAAAGCAACAGTTCTTTCCCCTAAGAACACTGAAGCCAGTTTACAGTTTGCCACATTTGCCAGAACCAGCTTCCTTGTGTAGAACCTCACATCAGTCAGCCAGTGCTCCTTCCCAAGGTATACGAAGTCTTTCTCCAGAGTTCAGAGACACCAGCACAAGCTGGCCAATAG